GTGGGCGAGGGGAGAGGGTGGGCGGGATGGGAGGCTGCAGACCCTATGGGCACCCCACAGAGCCTCCAGGATGCCAGGCGACTCTGGCCAGGTCTCGTCATTTCCTCGGGGTGAACTGGGGGGCACCCTTCCTGCTAAGGGGAGACGTGCGCGGGGACCCTCCCAGGCCCTTGTGCCATGGTGGGGCCAACACCCCAAGCCCCCACAGGACCTCCCCCTCTGCAGGCCCCCGGGGCTGATTAAATTAGCGAATGCAATTGCAATCTGAAGCAAGTTAATTGAGAGAATTTATTTGGCCCTGACAGTTTTACGCACGTTTGATGAAACACGGTAAGGATTGTTTTTGATTCTGCATAATTTGTCTTTAACTCCTGCACGGGGCCGTCCGCCGCCCTTGACCAGGACAGGCCTCCCCGGGCCGCAGCCGGGCTTGATTTCCGAGCCTGATCTCCTGCAGATCTTCCCGGCACGGTTGCCAAAGTGACAGAAACTTGCAGGCGGTGTGCCTGGCCGAGCAGCTCGCCTTGCAACTCTCCAAGAATACACACGAGTCATTCAAAGTGTTGAAAGAAGTACATGTTAGCATTTATGTCTCAACAAGTGACCATGTACCTGTGTCGGGGGGCCATAAAATGTGGGGTGCCCAGCCATGCACGGCCACCCAGCCACGCACAGCCCCCCAGCCACCCACGGCCCCCCAGCCACGCACGGCGCCCAGCCACCACAGCCCCCCAGCCATGCACGGTGCCCAGCCAGGCACAGCCCCTCAGCCACGCCCCCTCAGCCACACATGGCCCCCAGCCACGCACAGGGCCCAGCCACGCACGGCGCCCAGTCACGCACGGCCCCCAGCCATGCTCGGCCCCCAGCCACGCTCGGCCCCCAGCCACGCATGGCATCCACACTTGGCTGCAAACCTTCTGGCCTGTCACCACTGAGCAGGTCAGCCCACAGGAGCTGGTGGGGTCGGCAGGATCCTGCCCACTTGGGGATGCTGTGGCCCTGGGCCTCACCTTCCCCAGGTGCTGGGGTGCTGGGTCCTGCCCGGGGTGTGGGCCTGCGTCTCAGTCTGTGAGCCAAACCCATGGCCTGCTCCGAGCCGTTCCGACAAGCAACATTTATTGATCAATGTTATTTTAGATGATTTATTCAGTTAATTGAAAGGCATACTGGGTCCTTCTGCCTGCTGTTCATTCCCCAAGTGGCCCAAAGCCAGGAGCTCTCCCGGGTCTCCCACACGGGTGCAGGGTCCCAAGGCTTTGGGCCATCCTCAACTGCTTTCCCAGGCCACAGCAGGGAGCTGGAAGGGAAGTGGGGCAGCCGGGACAGGGGACGCTGGCAGGCTGGCAGACAGTGGCAGCCGAGGGCTGCGGGGGCAGCAGGCCTGGGCCCGGTCCTGTCCACAGTGACCTGTGAGCCCCGGTTCTCCTTGCCTTGGTCCCGGCCTGGCTGGAGGGGAGGTGCAGGTAGCGGCGCTGTGAGAGGCCCGTGACCGGGCCGAGGAAGACACAGGGCGGTACTTTCCAGATGGCAGCTCTGCCTGGTTCCCCACCTGGGCCAGGTGCTGGGCCCGGTGGCACCCATGTCCTTCCATGAGGGTCTGATCCCAGGAAGTCCCTGGGCCAGAGGCGATGGTCCCCGGGCTGGTATGGGGGCAAGTTTGCCACTGGTCAAGGTCAGGGAGTACAGGGCCTTCTGGCCTTGGACACAGCCCTGCACGCTGAGCTGTGACAAGGGCTGGGGTGGCCGAGGTGGCTGGCCTGCACCCTTCCCATGCCTTGCTCAGCGCGCGTCTGCCACCTGCTGGGGCTCTGGCAGCATTCTCCCTGTCCCCAGTGGGGGTGGCGGGCTCCAGGACCGGGTCAGGAGAGTGTTGGCCGGCTCTCGGCTGGCGGCCACCACCTTCTCCCCTCATCCTGATGTGACCAGCTCCCAGCCTCCTCTCGAGAGGACAGTGGTCACATGGGCCGAGTGACAGGCCAGACCTCACTGCCGTGACTGCTTCAGGTCCCAGGCTCCCCACCCTGCAGCCCGTCAGAGGTCCGGGGGACACTGAGCAGCCGCTGGCCCCAGACTGGCACCAGGGTCTCTCCTGGGGATGTCCAGTCAACCTCAGGTCCACCCACGGGCCCCCTGCACACGGCTGCTGGGAGTCCTGCTGAGGGGCCCACTGGCCACGACACGAGAGTGTCAAGGTGTCCTATGGCCACGCTGCTGCACACTGTCCAGTGGGGGAGGGATTCGTGCAGGGCTGCCCCGAGGGGGGCTGGCTGGGTCAGGCTCCCGCAGCCCCACGAGGAAGACCCTGAGACCCCGGGGGGCTGTGACACTGCCCCTGTGAGAGTGGGGGTGCAGCCGGTGGGAGCAGGCTGGCCCGTCTCTAACACTGCCCCCGTGAGAGTGGGGGTACAGCCGGTGGGGGGCAGGCTGGCCTGTCTCTCATACCCCCTGCTGTCTCTGCAGGGAACTCTGGGTAACACACGGGGCACCCCGTCCAGTGCCCTCCTGGGGCAGGGAGACACTGCTCTGTCACTGTGGCTGCCATGGAGGCTGTCATGGGTGCAGGGTGCCCTAACCAGCGAGGTCTGACATGCACAGGGCAGGGCAGGTGCTCCCAGCCTCTCAGGGTAGGACCCGAGGGGCCAGGGCCCAGAGGGGGTGAGGGCAGCTCGGACCCTTAAGGCCTGGCCTGGGCCTGCTGGGTCGCCAGCTGTAGCATCCCCTGCCCGGGGGAGCCTCTGACCCAGCCTGGAAACCAGCAGCCCTCGGCTGCCTGTCTGGTCTGTGCTCAGCCCAGCTGGGGCAGGGCCCGGACAGCACTCCTGGGGGACAGGCAGGCGGCACAGAGCACAGGGCCGGGCCACTGGGTTCCTCACGGCCAGAGCCTCAGCAGCCCGGCAGCCAGTCCAAGGACCGGTCAGGGAAAGCAGACCCTGGCAGTGTCAGTTCCCCAGCCCTTCAAATCCAGCCGGGTGTGTCAGAGGTCACACAGTCCCTTTGGCCCCTATGGCCACCCTTGCTGGGTCCCAGCATCAGCAAATGGCAGGAGGCGGGCCAGAGGCATGGGATCGGCACCAGGGCCCCCACAAAGGCCTCTGGGGACGGCTGGGGCTGAATGGCCAGTGGGTCCCTTTGGCCCCGCCCAAGGAGGGACACAGCCGCTTGGGCCAAGGACTCCCTCCGGCTGGGCACCCAGCAGGCGGAGCAGGCCACTGCCCAGCGAGAGATCCAAGCACAGAGGCCAGTGGCCAGGGCCGTCCCCGGCACAGTGAGAGAGCCGGCCAAGGGGGGTCCTGGGCCTGGCTCTGGGGCGGGGTTGCTTCAACTCAGGCACTGCCCCCAGCCCAAGGCTGACTGCTCTGTCCAGCGCACTCCCAGGCCCCAAGTCCCCAGGGACCAGCAGCCCACTCAAGGTGCCCAGGTGCCTGGCGGTCCCCTGGGTGGCTGGGGCTGGGAGGGACCCCAAGGTGGTCCAACCCACAGGCCTCTGCGGCAGCTACTTCTCCCTCTGGTCAAACTGCACAGTAAGAAAGCCACAGACCCGTGTGAGATAGCAGTAGGGATCGGAGGCCAGGCGCAGGCACACAGCTGGAGTAGGCAGGGGGGCGCGTGAGCACACCCTGCCCTGGACCCCCACGCCCAGTGCTGCCGGCTGCAAGGCTGGGCAGCCCCACTTCCGCTCCAGCTCCCCGAGACCCTGGCACAGTCCTGGCTCCTGGCAGCCACATGGGGAGTGAGAAAGTCTCTCAAATATTCATCTAAAGAAATGTTAATGGGCCTGGCACTACAGCCTAGCGGTTAAAGTCCTTACCTTGCACACGCTGGGATCCCATGTGGGCACTGGTTTATATCCCAGTGACCCCAGTTCCCATCCAGCTCCCTGCTTGTGGGGCCTGGGAAAGCAGTGAGGGTGGCCCAAAGCCTTGGAACCCTGCACCCATGTGGGAGACCTGCAAGAGCTCCTGGCTCCTGGCTTCGGATTGGCGCAACACCAGCGTTGCGCTCACTTGGGGAGTGAATCAACAGGCAGAAGATCTCCCTCTGTCTCTCCTCCTCTCTGTATATCTGACTTTCCAATAAAAATAAATAATTTTTTTAAAGTTACTGCTTTCAGATGAGATTAACACGTTTTCAAAGATTTATTTGAAAAGGGGAGTGACTCTCCACCTGCTGGCTCACTTCCCAGATGGGCGCCAAGGCCAGCGCTGGGCCAGCCCAAAGCCTGGGGTCTCCTCCGGGTCTCCCACGGGGGCGCAGGGTCCCTGTGGGTCGTCCTCGGCTGCTCTCCCAGGCCGCAAGCGGAGCTGCCCGGACTCGAACCGGCGCCCAAGCGGGAAGCGGAGCTGCCGGGACCCGAACCGGCGCCCATGGGATGCCAGCGTCCACCTGTCCTACCCGGGGAGCGGCCAAGGCACCTGCGGGACCCCCTTCCTCCCGCAGGGGCGCCCACCCGGGGACCCACCCCAGGGGCCCGCTGCACCCGGGGGAGCGGCTTCCACGGGCTCCCCGGGACAGCGCTCAGACCCGGAGCCGGACACCGCCACGGGCTGCCGCCGCGCACGCGCGCAAGGTCGGGGCCGCCCGTGGGCCCCTGTGCGCCTGCGCAGCACTGGCCGCGGCGCGCACGCACGTTCGGGGCAGCGGCCAGTGGCCGCCGAGGCCCAACCGGCGCTCCCGGCGCCGCGCGCGGGGCCCCTACGGAGGCCGCGGAGGGACGCACGCGGGCGGTCGCCCGGCGGCTGCGGGAGCCCGTCGGCCCGCTCCGTGGTGCGGGACGCGGAGAGGGCGCCGGCGAGCGGGGGCCAGGCCCGCGATGGCGTCTCTCCGGGGGGCAGGTGGCGTGCGCGAGCTGCCCACCGCGTCCCCGGGGTGCGGCGCAGCACCCAGGGGAGCCTTCCGGCTTGGCCAGGTGGGTGGGCAGTCCTGGGCGGCGGGCGGGGACTGACCGGGGGTCCCCCGATTCCGCTTCCCCTGCTGGCCCCCGGGCCTCTGCGCCCCGGATGCCGCTCGTGCCCATCCCGCGGCGGGTGCGCTCCTTCCCCGGCCCGCACGGCACCTGCTGCGCGCCCCTCGCCGCTGGCGCGCACCAGGCACCACAGCTTGGACGCGCGCGTGAAGACGCGCCGGCTGCACGGCTTGCTGCGCTTCCTGCTGTGCCTGGGCGGCCGCCTGCTCACAGCCGCGCTCTGGCGCGCGCTAGCCTGGCTCTGCCGCCTGCAGTACCTGGGCGCGCGCTGCTGCTGCTGGCCGCCGCCCCCTGGACTTCCACCTGCCCTACCAGCTGCTCTTCTGCGCGACCCTGCTGCTGCCCGGCGGGCTGGGCTGGGGGACATGTGAGCGCCCGCGCCGAGGGCTGAGACCTGGGGTCCCCCCTGCACCCTGGCTGCGCAGCTGTGAGCAGGTTTAGGGGGCTGAGAGCCCTCCGGGGTCCTTTGGCGTCGGGCGTCCCAGACGTGGGAACAGGCCAACACTTGGCTGTCCTGCCACCGCGAAGCCCTCCAGGAAGGCAGACGGGCACCCCACCCCGCAGGGAAGGGCTCGCGTCGTGGCTGCCGGTGGGGGCACGTGGACCCTCTGTCCCTCTGATTCCAGAGGTGGCCTGTGACTACGTTGTGCACCCGGAACTCTGGGCGTGGGGTTCGGGCCGGCCCCTGTGACCCCCGCCCCGGTGGACCCTGTGCCGGTGTGGGGGACCCACCTCTTGCTGCACACAATCTTTTGCATTAAACTACACTGCTTCCTTTTGCTGTGCTTCTGTTAGTTAGCTCAGGGTACCTCTTGCTGAGGGTGAGGCTGGGGCCCAGGGCAGCGGGGTTGCTCAGCCAGTGGCCTGACCATGCCAGTCCAGCCCACACTAGCCCAGCTGCCTGGTGAGCTGTCCATGAGGTCAGCCACGTGCATTAAAACTGGTTTGTTGTGTTTTTTTTTTTAACGTGTTTTGGAGTGGTTGCTTTGAGCTCAGCATTGGTGGAGTTGTGTCTGTGCAGGCTGGGGAGGGGCTGGGCCAGGTCCCACGCACAGCCTGTGGTGGTGGGGGGCTCGTGGGGGGCCAGGTCCCACGCACAGCCTGTGGTGGGGGGGCTCGTGGGGGGCCAGGTCCCACGCACAGCCTGTGGGGGGGGTCGTGGGGGGCCGGGTCCCACACACAGCCTGTGGTGGTGGAAGGCTCGTGGGGGGCCGGGTCCCACACACAGCCTGTGGTGGTGGGAGGCTCGTGGGGGGCCGGGTCCCACACACAGCCTGTGGTGGTGGGAGGCTCGTGGGGACTCAGGGAGGTGGGCAGGAAGGCAGGGTGCTGGGCTGGCTGCTCAGCGACCTCTGAGGAGGCCCTGGGAACTGGAGGCCCTGGGAACTGGATGGAAAGCTCCGCGCATGGCCTCTGGTCAGGTCTCGCTAAAGCCTTCACCTCCGAAGCTGGTTTGTTTTCTTCCGGGACCTTGGAATTACCCCTAGACCAAGGTGGACACCAGGCCCAGCGTGTGTGCACAGCCATGCAGTGTGGCTGCCTGGGGCTGGAGCTGGTGGCTGTGGGCCTCCACTTCTTCCCTCCCATAACCCTAACACTGCTTCGTGCCTGTCCGGCAGAGGCCCCACAGGGAGTGGCTAAAGCTGGCCGGCATGGTCACGAAGCACACGGAACCAGGACCCAATGGAGTGAGTGCCCGGCCCAGGCTAACTGGGTGCCCGGGTGGCCGATAGAGTGAGTGCCAGGGCCCAGGCTGACCAGGTACCTGGGTGGCTGGGCAGTGGCCTAGGCAAGTTGCTTCAGGCCTCAGGGGGTCTCCAGTGGCAGCTGCCCTGGGGTTGAGGGCCTTGCGGTGTGTGCTGTGGCCCTGTACTGCCCGGGTGTGGACAGCCTCCACGGCCAGGCAGCTGGGATGCTGCTGGAAACTGCCCCGGACTCGTTGGCTGGCCTTGCAGGAGCCCAGTGGCCCCATGTTAGAGACTGGCAGGGCCACCCAGGGGCCTGGCAGCAGTGGTGCCTCAGGCGTGGACACAGGGAGGACTCGCCCTGGCACCCAGTGGCCACACTGCAGGTGCCCCTGCCCACTGTGAGCTCTGTCTCAAGGGCTGCAGGGGCGTGGGACAAGGCTTTCATGGCTGTGGTGGCTACCAAGCCAGTCTACCCTACCTGGCATGGCGTGCCTGAAGCTGCCCCCCGACTCGGGTCTGCTGTGGAGTGGCCATGGGAATGGATGGGTCGGGACAGCAGATGCTAGGCACCTTGGGGAAGTTTCTGGAATTCAGAGCTGCCTGGACAGTCCTGTCCCTGGCTCAGGGGATGGCAGTGCACCTGGGTGTAGGAGGGACCAGGCAGGAACCAGGCGCCCAGGAGCCAGAGCCCTCCCCTGCCCAGGGTGCTGAGAGGTTGGTGGGAGGGCCCTGGGGGGGTCCTCCCCCATGATAGATTAAGAACTGAGGGGGCCGGCGTGGTGTGACCCATAAATCTGTCTGTAATGTGGCATCCATACAGGCACCTGTTCAAGTCCCGGCTGCTCCACTTCCCATCCAGCTCCCTGCTTGGGGCCTGGGAGAGAGCAAAGCCTCGGGGCCCAGCACCCCTGTGGGAGGCCCGGAAAAAGCTCCTGGCTTTGGGCTTCAGCCTGGTCCAGTCCTGGCCGTGAGGCCATCTGGGGAGTGGGCCAGCGAATGGAAGATTCTGAGTGAAACTGCCTTTACACATAAATGTTTAAAACTAAACAAAACAAGAAAGAACTGACTCAGGAAATCGCCATGGTAGGGAGGGCCGAAAGCTCCAGTCCCCCCACCCCCGCAAAGGTTTCCGTTCCAGCGGGAGGGTCGTGGGTGCTGCGGGGCAGGTGGCCCTGGCCTCAGGGGTCACCTGCTCGGCCATCCGGCCTGCACCATGAGGGCCTGCACCTGTGCCTGCCTAAGGCCGTGGCCCTCTGTCCCCCGCCTGTCCAGGCCCGCTGCCAGGCCATGATGCGGAGCTGGGCCGGGCGGACCTGGACGGGGTGGGTGCCGCCTGGGCTGGTGCGGATGCGCCCCAGACCTCAGGCGCTGGCCACTTCCAGCAGGGCAGGGAAGGGGAGGAGCGGCAGGGAAGGGAAGCTCCCAGAGCTGACGCGGCAGTTCCGGGGCCGCAGCGGTGGCGCACGGCGCGCTCCTCCCTCGCTGGCAGCCTCGGGGAAGGGTCCCCCGCTTCCCCTCGCCCCCGGGCCACACCGCGGACCCAGCGGCCAGCTGCCCCTTCGATGGCCCCGCGCAGGGCAGGGGGCTGCCCTGGCCGCCCCTCCCCTCCCCCGCATCGTCCAGCCGGGGACCAGTCGGCCCCCTCCCCTGCCGGCCGGGCAGCGTGCCCGGGCCTGCCGGCACTGTCACATGAGGCCTCCCAGGGCTGCACAGTGCGAGGTGTGTGGCCCGCACTGCGTCTAGGGGACCCCCTCCCCCTATGCAGTCACTCTGCAGCCTCCTGCAGCCACGGGGCCGTGTTGGCCGCTGTCATCCTGCCCTGGCCAGGCTGCAGGAGTGGGCAGAAGCGCTGCCCCTCGGCTCTCAGGCGGTAGGGCCCGGAGGGAGGGGAGCTCTGGGGCAGCAGAGGAGGGGCAGGGGTGAACCAGAGCCCCCCACCCACCCTGGAACTCCTGTGCCCTGGAGTTCATGGGGTAGAGCCGGGAGCTAGGACGTATCTGGGAATTGGTTCTTGTGGGGTCCCCAGAGAGTAGTGGGTGGGGTCAAGAGGCATTGGGCAGCAGAGTGTGGGCCGCCATTCGGCTGCTGCTTGCAATCTGGGCACGGATGCCTCCAGCGCGGGCCCGCACAGCAGTTGGCGCCTTGGGCAGCCCCTCCTTGCTCTGACCCTGCTCTGCGCCAACCCTGGGGCCCTGCCCCACCCGCCCTGGGGCCACACAAGTCAGGACTGTGACTGTGGGTTTGCCGTGTGCCTCAGCTCCGTGGCGTCACAGTGGCATGAATTATTTGTGTTTTTTGCACATCACACTGCGGCCACTGCGTCTCTCTCCCGGCTCCCGTGAGGCACACAGCAGCAGCCCTGCCCACAGTCTTCCTCGGGCCTGCCACCTGCAGGGGGCAGGGGGCGGGGCACCACCCCGTCCATCTCTGTCTTTACACAGGGAGATGTGGGCTTGAGGCCTGGAACATGGGGCGAGCCGTGGGGTGCCCCTCCTTCTGCATTCCTGCCAGACGCACAGGCACCTGTGCAGGTGCCGGTCGGGAACAGACCCTCTCTCAGCTCCAGGTGCTGCCATGTCCCACCCCGCCTGGCTCCAGGCACAGCCCTTCCTGCAAGACCAGAGGAAGGAATCCAGGGACGCGGGCTCTGGCCTGCAGCTCTGGCTGGTCTTCCCCTGCCAGGCCCCACCTCCTAAGCGGCAGCCCCGGGGAGGAAGGAGGCCTGGGCCAGTGGCCTCAGCCCTGGCCGCCATCCTCCAGGCTCTGGGCCTGCAGACCACAGGGGCCGGTGTGCCCCGCCCTCGGCTGGGCCTGTGGGCAGATCCGGTGGCTGCACCAAGGCTTCATACTCTGGGCTCAGGCCGGCGACCTGGGGATTGGGTTGCTGAGAAGCCAGCCCCCCTCCTGGGCCCCAGGCCTCACTCAGCCCAGGCTCCTGTGCCAGGGAAGGCGAGCAGGCGGGCAGGCGGGCAGGCGGGCGGGCGGGCGGCATTGCTGTGTCTCCAGGGGCACAGCAGGCCTGGGCCCCTCACTTTTGGGATGACCGTGGGCAGGAGAGAGCCACAAAGTCGCATTCCCACTTGCCTTGCCCAGTGCTGCCCTCCTGTGTCTATGCAAACCGGTGCCCCGGCTCAGGCCTGCACCAGGGGCTCGGGCTGGGGGCCGGGGGCTCGGTGTTGGGGAGCCAGGTAGTGCCCGGGGGCCCTCAGCGGCTCCACAGTGAATGCAACAGCTGGTTCGCAGCTGCACCAATGCTGAAGGGAAATTTAGGACACAAGGGGAAGGCAAGGAGAACCTCCAGTTTAGACCGAGGGAGGCGTGCCTGCCGAGGCATAGCTGCCCTAATTCTGGGCCTGGCAACCATGGCTGGGAGGCCAAAATATTCGCCCACTCTCCACCTGCTGGCCAGAGCTATGGGTGTACCCTCGCCCCACTGTCCCCACTACAGGCCCGCCTGCCTGCCAGTGTCCCCTCCTTGCACTGACCAGGCTGAGGGCCAGGGCAGGGGGAAGTACCTGCCTGTTCGATGGCCAGCACTGCCCAGGCCAAGGCCATGCAGAGTGTGGACAACAAGCATAACCCTCCCGCCGAGTTCTTTATTCACAAGCAGAGAGCGGGGGTCAGGTCGTCCCCTGCTAGTCCACTCTGCTCTGGCTGCAGTGGCCAGGGCTGGGCTGGCGCGAGCCCACAGCTCCAGTGGGGTGTCCTGGGTGGATGCAGGGGCCTGCTCAGAACCCCTCGCCTCGGCCCACTCTGCGTCTCGCCCTCCCTCTCTTTCCTCCTGTCCCCTCCGCCCCCGCCTCCCCAGCGGTTGCCAGCCTTTCCCATGGTCGGAAGTCCTGTTTCCTTCCAGGACTGAACCTGGGGTTCCCACAGTGTAGGGTCCAGCCCTCCCCTTGGGGGAAGCGCCCCTCCCTGGTCCTTCTGGCACCTGTGCTCTGGCTAGCCTGGAATCTGACCTGGCAGCTGGCAAGTCACAGGTCTTGGAGGCACTCCCTACACCTGTGAGGTGGCACGCAGGGCCCCAGGCCATGGCATGGGCTCAGGTGTCCCCGGCCCCCGGACCTCAGGCCGTGGCATGGGCTCAGGTGTCCCGGCTTCCAAGCTCCTATCATAGGCCTAGCCTGACTCCCTGATCCGGGGCCCTTGCTTCTACGATGCCCAGGTAAGGCCCAGAGCCACTGCCCAGGGCTCGGAGTCAGGCGGTCAGCAGGACCACCGACTGGGGCTGCATTTGGGGCAGGGCTGTCTACAGACACGTCTGGCCCCCCGG